TGGTGACAAGCGGTGACAAAGCAGCTTGGCCTTGGCGCGTCAGCGGTGAGGGTGCGAGTGGCGGAGCGACCGATAGGCAAAACGGCGCCAGGGGTTTGCGTGCCCCTCTGTGTTCACCCCTGATTCCGACTGCTCCGTGGTGAACGGGCACTCGGCATCCTCTCCCGAGTATTTTGAAGCCTTTTTTGCCTTTCCGTCACTTTACTGTAACTGGTAAAGTCTCCTTAACAGAATATTTTGCTCAGTGTAATCTGGAAGGCCATTAAGAACATGCAAATTAGTCTTTGGGTATTAGTGATGACAATGTTCCTAATACTGCAAAGTCAAAGAAAACTCATTGCCTTTGAAGAGGAGACGCTGAGAGTCTTTTAGGTACTTTCATAAAAACGCAAGGAAAGGTTTTCCACGTTCTGAATAGGTTATGCAGATTGAAAGCTTGTCCATAATCAAGTAGGTTTCCTATTAAAGACTTTTAATGTAATAAGTACCTGTAAGAAATACACAGAGTTTGTTCCTCATTTCTACCTGTGTGCTACTCATGGCTTGCAGCTTCCTAAGTGGTTTTCTGTGTGACGTTCAGTAAACAGGCACACAAATCGACCTGATATCCTTCAAAGTCCACAAAACCCACGTAATCACAAGCATCGCACTCTGGGAGTGGGAGTCTGGTTTTCCTATCACTCCTGCTTCCAATTTCTCTGCTCTGACGCTGCTTGTGGCAAAGAGTTAATCCTGTCCTGACGGGAAGGTGCTGAAGTTGATAAAAGGCAGCGGCAGCAGCAATCCCGGGGCTTTTAACTTGTCACTCGGGTGCCTCTGTCACCTGGGGGGGAGCTTTGCTTTCTGTGTGCGAGACAAGGGAGGAGAGGGACCCTCCAGGGGCAGTGACTGACATTCCGCGTTTCAGTCTCCGTGCAAGTCTGCTCTCCCTCATTCCCTCGTAGGGGGTCCTTATTTAGAAGTGTCAGCTTGCAAGACAGCTCTTATCTCCCAGATGAACCTGCCGGGAGCCACCACTGACTTAAAAAGACTTCCAGAGACTTCTTTATCTATGCAAACAGCCTCGGTCTAAATCAACTGTTTTAAAAACTCATCTGTAGCACCTCTGGTCATTAAATTGGCCAAAGCCTATGTTTAACTTGGTTGTGACAGACAAAGCCAAAGGCATCCGCAAAGAAGGGCTCTTAAGTTCTGAGGAGTTTATTTAACAAAAAGTGTTGTGAGAGGCAATTCAAAGAAATAAGTGGATGGTCTGTGACCTTTGCATTCAGCAAAGCAGGCTGTGGTGGGACTGCAGAGCCGCTGCCTTGCTAATGATTTGATGTGAGCTCTGTGTTTTGGAGGATGGCAGTGGACACCATGGGGAATTTGCGGTTTGTGTTTTAGAAATGTGGATAAATCATCTGCATTGAACCCAAGGATATTTCATGGAGCTGTGACAAAGTCCCTGCCCTATTTTTTCTCTCCTCTGGCTATGAGACGTCATTTCTAAAGCTCGTAAGTCAGACCATCTGTGCCCTTTTTAGTTAGGAAACACTAATAATCAAATAATCCTATTAATGGAAAACAAATATCAGACAAAGCTTTTTCAACCTTCAGAGCTTTATGTGTTCCGTTGTGTTTTCAAAACGCAGTCTGTTCTGAAGACGTTGCCATTGCAGAGACCACCTGGCAGCAGATTCTGTAGACTGGGCTGCAGTTTGCAAGACAAGGCATCGGGGAGGAATAAAAATAGGAAATCTCGCTATGTTTTTTCTTCAGAGCCTCGGGGGATAGAAACAATCACTGCACAAATGCCAGGGCGCAGCTGAATTTCAGGACGAGCGTCTGAGTGCTCCTCTCAGCCGGCACCGAGTCCGAAGGGAAAATCTCGTGTGGCTGTTGGGGCCCTTTCCGAGCACAGGGAGGCAATGTGTCTTCATCAAACCCCACGGCTCTCTCCACAACTGTGATTATTGCAGGCTTCATGCACGAGGAAAAGCACATTTATCCTCAAAGCTGCTTTTTTTTTTCTTTTCCCTGTGATTGCCTTATTTCAGTCCCAAATTTAATCCAGTGTAAAAAGCTTTCAATGTTTTGTTAAACACTAGAAATCAAGACATGTTTTCTCGTTTGGAGATTTGCTGTTCTCTGTTTTGCATTCTGTAGCTCAGAGCTGTAGCTGTAATTGTCCCTGAAGGTAACTACAGTCGATGCATACTTGGATTAGAGCGAGATCTGCAGAGAGAACTTGGAGATTCCCCCTCTCCTGTGTGCAGTGAGCAGCTTGGATGTGAGTGCCCCCTTTCCCCCACCTCACAACATGAAGCACCTCAGGTTTTACAGAAGTGCCTCCTGCTGAGCTCTGTGCTTGGGGCTCACCCAATCCCCAGGAAGGCAAAGACGCTGCAAACCTAAACTGCTCTGAAGAGCTCAAGTCCAGTCCCGCTCTGCCCATTCCCAAGGCTCTTGCAGCATCTTCAATAGTTCCCCAGTTACCAGAATCTTTTAATCCAAACTGAATTTCTAGTGTTAAAAAGAAAAAAAAAAAAAGTGGAACAAAAGTATTGTTTCACTAAATAAAGAGCATTTAACAGGATGGTTTTGTGTAGTCTCTGAGGACATGGAGAAAGCAGGTACTTGAAGGGCGTCAGTGTTTCAGAATCAAATCCTGCAGCTGAAATGATTTACCAGCTTTAATCATGAGAACTAGTGGGAACAGCTTGTTATTAAAGATATCTTCCAGTTTTGCTCACCTGCAGCTTTCAGTTCACTTTTGCTGTAACGTTGCTCCTACGCAAAGCTGTCCATCGTCAACCGGGATGTGCAGAACCTCGAGAGGAGGCTGCTGCGCCTGGGTCCGTTAGCTCTGTCTCATTAAAACAATTTCAGTGATCTCTTGGGGAGATGGTCTGTAGCGAGGCCCTTTATGCTGTCTATGAATTGCTTTGAATCACCTAAAAATATCGACCGTGCGTCTCCAAACCCCCGACTGCCAGAGAAAGGAGTTTTCTAGCTGCAGGGAAGGGAGCAGTTTCTTATTGCCGGCCGGGGGATTTCAGACCTTCCTGCCAGGCTGCTCGGGGCAGCGGTGCTGCTTCCACCTCCGCACCGCCTGGTGCAGGTTCCTGTTCTTGTGCCACGCGTAGGCCTTGTTCACCACGACCTTGTCGCTCTGCGCTTCCCCGCTTACGACGAACACCCCGGCGTGGGTGCCCCGCATGATGTTGTGAGCGCAGGTGGCGTCAATGTCCAGCCACTGCTGGAGCCGCCCGGGAATGTCGCTTCGGAGCAGCGGGCCGTGCTTCAGGACCTCCACCCGGGACGGGTCCAGGTCGAAGTCGGACACGGTGGTGGTGGTGTTCTTCCTGAAGATCCTGATTTTCACCGCTTGGGGGAAAAATAAAATAATAAAAAAAAAAGATGTGAGTTTTGTTAGTTTTGTTTACATTTCTTAGGTCTTACCCGCTTCAGTTGCAAAAACAACCTAGCGGGATGCTTTCTTGCTATTTGTGTTACAGTGGTGGTATCCATCCAAGTGCATGTAATTGCAGTAAACTTGTAAAAGTTCTCATTTGAGGTTAGTGTTTCCAGCACTGAAAACTATTTTATTTTTATTTTTGCTCCACTTCTCCTGAGGATGGAGAAAGGGCACATCAGCATCACTGATGGGCAGAAACTCCCTGCAGGAAGCAGCCATGCAAGTGAGTGGATGTATCTCAGTCCTGGCCTTGTGCAAGTTAATTTGCTTCTCTCTGAGCTGGGATTGCAGGAGATGACATGACTGTCAGTTGCCCAGGGCTGGAACTATCTGCTGTCATGAAGGTTGAGTGCCCGAATTTGGAACAGTATCTTAAAACTTTATGTCAACCAGTTTAGGAGATGCTACCTGTTCCAGATGGGCAAGAGAGGACCAATGCTGAAGTTTGAAACAGCTCACATGGAGTTTGTCAGAGCATGTGGATTAAATATTGGTCTCTGCAGGAAAACCAGGGTTATATTTAGCAACTGCAGCCTGAAAACAAATGAGAGCCTAACAGAAATAAAGCAGGACTTTGCCCTTGGCACACCATGTAGCTGAGCCATCCTGCTGCTTCGCAGGTAAGTTGGGAACTGAAAATATAACTGAAAATAAACGACAAAATTCCTCCAAGTCAAGTGTTTTTATGGCAAAGCCATTTTCAGTGCATGGATACTGGAGGGGAAGCCAACAACTGAGAAGAGCTGGGGGGTACTCACCGAAATCGCTGGCACAGAGGTTTTCCAGGATCTCCCTGGCAGTGCTGGCCTCCTCGAGCTCGCAGTCCTTGCAGCTGGCTCGGGGCACTGCTGCAACAGAAACGCGGCTGTAACAACCGTGTCAAGCTCTACTGCAAAAGGTGGAGATCCCTGCTTGGAGATCCGAGCGGAGCGACCCGCGGTGCCCAAGTGCCTCCCAAGCTGCTCGGTCCCTGGAGGGACTGCACAGGCTGCCAGGATGGGAAATCCCAACTCTCCGTCCTGCTGTGGCTGCCTCCCTGTGACCAGGATCAGTGCAGGTGCTGCTCGTCACGCCTTGCTTAGGTTTGTGTGTAGTATTTTATTTTATTTTATTTTATTTTATTTTATTTTATTTTATTTTATTTTATCTTATTTTATCTTATTTTATCTTATTTTATCTTATTTTATCTTATTTTATCTTATTATTTGTTTTGGTTAGCACAGCGGTTTTCAAAGCCTGGTGCCTCGAGATACTTGGAGTGCCTAGAGCATCCTCAGAAGGGCAGTACCAGCAACCTGCCCCAGGTGGCTGCTCCCAGGTTGTTGCTTCCAGCTTAGCTAGCGCTTACGTAAATACTGATCTGGATGCTCAGCGCCTGCTTTTCCTGGAGCAAGTGGTTGAGTACCAGAAGCAGCATTTAGAGATCCTGGAGAATTTGCTACCAAAAGAAAGTGCATTTAACAGTGTGAGCCGTTAGCCAACAGTGGTGTCACCTAGGCAATAAAAATAGTTGCATGGTGTGACAACACCATAAGCAACACTGACACCTTAGCTAATGCAGTGAGGAAGAGAAAATATTCAGGATGTTTTCTCTCAAACTCGAATCAAATTTATTTTGGTAGTCTTAAAGTTTTTTGCTATGCTGGACTGTAGAGCGATAGAGGGTATTTTTAAGTGGAACTCGTGACACTTGCTGTTTTTTCCTAAAGTATAAAGAGAAGGTTTGAAAAGCGTCTCGTTTTGTGAGCTTTGCAAGCCTTGGCTGTAGCAGAAACGTGAAAAACGCTTCCTTAGCTCTGGTGGTTGGATGTTTCACTGCCCGGGACTGCGTATTATTAACTGTGGCACTGTAGCTGATTGCTGGTCCTGGATAACTAATGAACATAGGAGTTGAGGGGAACAAGCTTTAACTAATCTTACACTAATTCTCTAGCCTCAGGGAAGGTTACAGAGAGAACGAAGCTAAAAAAATATTTATGTGTATATATATATATTTAATATAACTTAAACCCCCCAATATTAGGAACACAAGGCATGTGTCAGTGTCACATAGGGGGAAATGGGTGAGAAAAACACCTTACTTCTCCTGCTGGAGGAGGTTTCATCCGTGGAGACTGCGGAGATGCAGAGCTCATGATCTGCAGGGAACTTGTTGCAGTTGAGGATTTCAGGCCACGGGTAGCCGTAACAAGCCATGACGGGCGCGCAGCTTCTCTTGACGGCTTCGCACAAGCTGCGACACGGGTAGATGAGCCTGGGGAGGGAAGCAGCACTGCAGCAAACGCCGAGCGTTCCCTGCAGCAGCCTGAGCCCTGTCGCCCTCCTCGCGGGATGCCGCAGCGCTGGCGGCACCAGGGGATGTCTGATGCGTTTTGAACACTCCACTGCAGGAACCAAGCAGTTTCTAAGGATGGGAGTGAGTTGGGATCGGGCTTCTTGGTACTGCTTGCAGCCAGCAACCCTTCCTTCCCCTGGGAATTTTCTATATTTGTGCAACTAGTGGCTGCTGCCTAATTAGCTGCCTGGTTTCCTTAACAGCTCTGTAGCCTATGCCATAAAAATGAGGGTTTGTCTGTGCTGCAGCCACTTGCAGACTGAGAAAGCCTGAGTGCAGGAGGGGAGAGGTTGGCAGTAAAGCGGTGGGATTGCAGCGTGCAGCTCCCGGTGAGCCACTGTGTCATGTGAGAGGAGCAAATGGGAGCAGGGTCTGAGGGGAAAGCAGGGAAATCCCGCAGAGGGAAGCGATGTTACTGCTCCTGCAAAGTGGAACGACTCTGTGACAGGCAGAAGTGTCCCCGTGTGGTGTGTGAGGCACAAGAGAGGCCGGCGGAGCTGGTGCGCAACAGGCTGCGAGAGGAGGAGATGAAGACCAGCATGGTCAGGGGCTGGAAAAGCTATTTCCAAGAAATTGGTAACATGAATACATTTATATATGGTGCATTTTGATCTGATAAACCAAAAAGGGGCATTTTTGTAATCTGGCAAGATCTCTGTTTCCCCTTCAGAAATGTTCATGTTTCGCTTTCAGAGGGAAGATCCCTGCTGAGTAATCCCATTTCCCCTCACTGAGTGGGGCAGGATGGTGCCAAATAACTACAATGATCAGATTTCACACATTTTTTTCTGAAGAGGCAAATGCAGTTGCGCTGTTGTGCAGTTTTCCCTGCTACGGCTGAAATATCTTGCAAAAACATCTTACCTGTCCAAGCAGATTGGTGCGAAGAGGGAGCAGAGGAAAATCCTCGCGTCTGGATGACACTCTCTGGCCAGCAAGGGCAGCCAGCTGGAGGATTGCTGGATCACTTCTGGCATGGTCTCGTGCTCCAGCAGGTTGGGAATCCTCATTTCGGCGTAGCCGATGTCGTAGCACAAGGCCATGGCGCTCGGGCGCGAGCGGCGCGAGCGGGCGGCCGGGACCATGCTCGGAGCGAGCGGCACGGGCAGCGCACCCCGCACTGAGCCGCTCCGGCCCCTGGGAAGCCTTTTATAGCCTACGAGCCACCTCTCTGTCAGTCCATCCTCATTAAGTGCAGCCCTTTCAGAGCTCTCTGGGGGAAGACAATGCTCCAATTTTCGTTTGCCAGCGGCCCCGATTGTTTGGATTTTAGCAGGGGTTTGGCTTAGATCAGCAGGTGTGGAAATGAGGGCAGTTGGGGAGGGATGAATGACTTGGCCCATGTGTCTTGGGGCTCTTTCAGCTGAGATTGCATCTCAGTTTGACACCAGTGCTTCAACCCAGCCCCTTTCTCTTGCTCCAGGATTAGGCATTATTTCATAAACCCCAATGTTTTCCCCTCTTTTGTTTTTTGTAAAAGCAATCAAGTGTTGCTCAAAGTCAATTAGGAGGCATTTGTTTAGCTGGATCTATTGTTGAGCAGGCTGAGATAGGATGGTCTCACAGCCAGAAGTTAACTGTTTCCGAGGGCTTTGGGTAGAGAGGAACTAATTTGCGACTGTGGTTGTTTGCACAGCAGATTGCCAGTGTTTAATTGGAAAACCTCTCACCTTGCAACCTGTGTGGAATAAAGCCCTTTCTGGTTAGCAAGACTGCTTCTTTCACTGGCATCCTCTTACAACAGCCGAAAAGAGAGATTGCACCCCCTCTTCATGTAATTAAGATTCCCAAAGCTTTCATTATTTCAGCCCAGTTTGAGGAACTGGAAATACTGGGAGTGTTGCTTGTGTACAGTTAATTCTTAACTAGTGCTGTGCCATTAACTGCAAACTGGCCGGGGGAGTCTGGGCTCTGAAGCATCCTCTGTTACAAGGACTCTGCCGCCTGGGACGGAAATTGCTCCCTGGATACAACCGGCCGCATTGTGTGGCTGCCGCTACCCAGCAACATCGCGTTTTCTGCAGGGTCGTTGCTGTCTGTACTTAGCAAGAAGCCAACTGTTTATTGACAATTTAAGTATTTAGAGCTGATTTAAGGACATGGAAGTAATTCACTTTTTTTTCCCCTTTGTGGAATGCTGTTGTGGTTGGATATAAGATATCCTTGGCACATACCTGCAGAAACATAGGAAGTTGTGATTTAGACAGCGGGACTTTCAGCCGAAGAATACTTACATCTGCCTTGTCCTAGGGGTTCTTCTTTCCCTCTTCTTCAAAGGTCTAAACAGATGATAAAGAGAAATCATAACAATAGCAGAAATCAGCCAGAAAGATATGTTGAACCTGCTGGACCACAGCATAGCTGGACTATGGCATGGGGCTTTGCCAGCATTTTGCAAGTGCGGTTGCATATCCAGTGCATCCATGCAGCTAGAAATCTCTTAGTCTCATAATCATTAGTGAACTCCTCTAAATTTAAATTTACTTGGGATTGTGGTTTTGCTTGACTGCTGCTGGCTTTGTGTTGCAGGAGAGGTTGTGCTGTTGGTGAGCTACCTGGGGATCCAGCACGGCATCCAGAATGTTTCCCTTTGTATATTTTTTAAGACTATTTTTAATGAGTGATCAAAGGGATGAGTGGGAATAAGTTTGGAGGTTGTCTCCTTGCGGTTTGAGGCTCATAGCAGAGCACAGTTTGTGCTGGGTTTCCTTGCAAGCTGTGGGGGTCTGTGCTGTGCGCCGTCCTCTCCACGGGGCAGCGAGGAAACCTCAAACCCTGGTCCCTGCAACCGTTTCCTGCTGTGAGGATTTTTTTTCTTCCCGTAGAGCAGCAGTGCCCAGACCGTGATCCACATATAACCCTTTGAAGTGACAATACGCAGAGATTTGCACGTGTTTGTTCACTCCCTCGGCTATTGTGCAGACCTGCGAGAAAGTTTAAGGGTTTATTGTGACCTGTGGATCCAAGTGCTTAAGAACTGCTATTGTAAAAATACCTGTCTCCATCAGCTGAGGTGTGGGGTGGCTGCTCTTTTTGATCTCCTCTGGTAGGAGGATGGATGTGCTTGAATATCTGAACTTTCTAAGTTTTCCTTTTTTCTTTTAATTTGGAGTGGCCGGCCATTGGCAGGAGTTTCGCTTGCCTTAGTCTCTGTTGCTGCTCATGCTTTTGCTGCAGAAATTCCAGATTTCCTGACAGAGGAGGAATGCAAGCTGATCGTCCATCTGGCACAGCTGAAGGGGCTGCAGAAAAGCCAGATCCTACCAACGGATGACTACGAGGAAGCCATGGAAATGATAGAAATCAGCCAGATGGACATTTTCAATCTGCTGGACCACAACCAGGATGGGCAGCTGCAACTCAAAGAGGTAGAGGGCAGGGTGGCAGGCCTGGCTTTTCCTCTCATGGGGACTCTGGGTTATTCCTGTGTTTGAGCAGACCTCAGTGTGTACTGCTGAGTATTTGTTTAATTTTATGGTCTGAGTCTTGTGCTGGACTTCACCGTGGAAGGGAATTTCTGGGGAAATGTGCAGCACTTGTGATCCTGCTGGGAGGTAGCAAGAGTCCTTGCCAGGAAATGTGTGTTTCAAATATGCTGGGTGAAATGTTCCATATGCTGTGGGTTTTTTCTTGCTAGGTGTCTTGGTGAAGTGAATCCGTAGTGCTGGAGGCCCAGTTCTGTGAAGCCTGTGGCAGAACCGGCTGCACCTTCCCCCAGTTGAGAGGATGTCAGCAAAGCCACCCGTGCTAATGAGGCGGGCAGCAGCACATGGCACACAGCTTTTCAGCACCCTTGTTCTGCGCAGCAGGGTAGACTGGGGTAAACCCTGGTCATCCCAAGATTCACTTCTCAGGCTCCCATTTCAGTATGTGGAGACACATTGTTGTGTGTGTGGCAGTATGGGGAACGGGCCAGCTTGGAGCAAGGCTTCTATCTCTAGAGGCCAGAGCCTGCAAAGAGCATTTCTTCTGCCCTTTAGAGAGTATTTCCCTCCAAGGCCTTATCTCAGATAAGCAAAAATACTCTTTTTTGTAATCAATCAGTAGTTTGACTTTCCTTCAAGAGAAAGAACTGAGCCCTCTCCGTCTAAGGACTAGTTAACTGGGTCCCAGCGGTCGATTGCCACGGCCTAAGCTGGAAACAACAGCAGAAATCTTTGTGGGTGCGGTTGCCAAATAATTCCCAGGCAAATCTTTCCGCAGAGCCGTGCTGAAGTCTGCCTGGCCGCTGCTCCTCAGAGGAGACTCCGCCAGGCCTCACACAGGGAATCATCACTGCTAGAAACTAGTGCCCAGCGTTGATCCGATTCTGCATTTCAGGTGCTGACCCACACCCGCCTTGGGAATGGCAGGTGGATGACCCCCGAAAACATCCGGGAGATGTACACTGCAGTGAAGGCCGATCCTGATGGGAACGGTAAGAGGAGCTCCATGGGGATTGCTTTGTCCTCAGCACACTGGCCACCTCACACAGCGCTGCAGGGAAGAGCAGGAGGCACGTCCAGGCCGGGCCTGTTTTGCTAGATGTGTTCTTCAAAGCAAAATATTGCTGCTTTAGAGACTTTCACAGAAAAGTCACATAAACCTCCCACCCCTTCATCACCATCTGAGAGTCAGGTTAGTCTGCCTGCCTGTTGAGGAGGGTAGATCTTGCAGGAACAGGACCAGAACATGCAGCTGTGTGTTCACTGTCCCCTGCATGAGCCCATGTCAGGTCTGCTTTAATTTGTACCCTGCCATAACAGGATACCCCAGGCCCAATTCTGCTCCATTGGCCTGTGAGACTGCACCATCTCTCCTGGTGTAACTCTTCCTACCTGAGCTGAACGGTGCTTCTTCCACTCACCCCTTATTTTCAGGCACGCTTCTGCAGCAGACTGGGATGGCTGCTTTGAGCTTCACTGGCTGGGCAGGGAGGGTGGAATAGGTGGATGTGGAGGCTTGCAGGTCGGCTCCTGGTGCTGCTCTGCCTCGCTGGGGCAGCACAAAGTGTGTGTCCCCAAGCAGCCACTTCTGCTTTTCCTTCCGCTGGTCTCCCAAGGGCTCCTGCTGGCCTGGCCATGCACTCTGACCTCTACTGCTCTAATTAGAGTGTCCTCAATTAAGCGACTCTTCATTTCCTAATCAAATTAAGTGAACACACAGGCTGTGCGCACACTCTTCCAGCGGCCTGGCGTCAAGGAGCTGCTTTGGTGTCAAAGCAGTGCCCATGTGAATGCCTAAATATCCGGAGGACACCCCATGCCTTGCTCCTCCGGGCTGGTGGCATTCTTGGCAGGGATAGGAACAGATGACTGAGTCGTCAGTGGCTTTTTCCACCCTCCCGGCCATTAACAAATGAAAAGTCCTGTTAAAGTGCTCTTGGCAAGACCTTGCTTCCAGAGCGCTGCTTCTCCCCATTGTTACTTTGGTTCGTGACAGCACGCGGGCAGGTCACAACCTGGATATGGCACCGCATCCCCAAAGACCGCGGGGAGCAAGGGGAAGCGGGGACAGGGAGATGAGAGCAGAGAGCTGCAGTAATAACGGTGAGTAATTCGGTCACGACTGCCAATACCTGGGGAAGCGTCCTGGGCTGACCCTGGTGACGGGTCCTTCCTCCGTGCTGCCGAGGGTGCCCTGTGCCCAGGACGCAGCCCGGCCTTGCAGCAGGAGCAGCAGAACCTGCTGCCCGAGTGAGCTCCGCTCCTTGCAGCCTGGGCAGCGGCTCCTGCAGCCGCTTTGCTCCTCCAGCCTGAAGCTGAACGTGTCGCGGCGTGTCCGGACGCGCGTTGGCCGCCGGGCTGCCCTCCGCAGCGCTCTGCGCACTCTGCTCTTGGGGACTCCGTCCCCACTGACAGACTTCCCTTCTTCTCCAGAACCAGGAGAGAATGAAAAGAGAGGGTTTTTCTCAAGCTGGCAAAGGCAAAAATCCATCCCTTGCCAAGAACAGTTGAATGCAAGCAAAAAATACCCACTTTAGTGGCAGCCGCTTTTTCCCTCTCATTTTTCTGTTACTACTGTTTATGCCAGATCATGCTTTGTTGTAATTTTTCTCCTGTTT